TAATTATATAGCTGTCATCCTAATAGATGCAAAATCACCTTGAATATGCTCATATAATCACTTAAATCTTCTAAGATACCCTAACAATAATGTAGACTTTCTAAATAAGAGCTGACATTAGTGTTGCACCAGACCTATACATTTGGAAAGCAACAGTACTGAGATTTATTGCAGTCCAACAGATTTCAAATGTTTGCAAAATGCAGAACCACCAATTTGAGTTTGAATCTCACAGCCCATTTTCTGTTTGAAACTCACAGCCCTTGAACAATATAATAGCTATCTGTAACAATACATATCAGACAAGAAAAAGACATGCCAAAATTAGTATTGTATCTCATGAGAAAATGTCATAGGCAAAGGGGCACCAGTAAGAGATTAACGATCTAACAGAAAATAGCTCTTGTTAATTTAAGTCAGCAAATTGCCTTCTGCATGATTACAAAAAACGTTTGCTTTCAGGCAAATGAACTCAATGGAAATGGTGAGCTCTATCTTCATAAATACCCAAACTTGAGGTTAAGAATTGTGGACGGTAGCAGCTTAGCAGCTGCAGTGGTTCTTAACAGTATTCCTCCGGAAACAAAAAAAGTCGCCCTCTGTGGAAATCTCTCAAAGGTAGCCTATAGAGTAGCTTCTGTGTTGTGCCAACGTTGTGTTGAGGTATGGAAACATTTCTTGCAAATTGCATCTCATCATCTATGATTGTTTTCGGCTAAGTAAAAATATGTTCACTACTTAACTAAGTTTTCTTCATGGTTCATGTTGTACAGGTAATAATAACACGGAAACATGAATATTACATGCTCAAATCGCAAATACCAGAAAGCATAGCAGGTTATCTATTACTTTCAAACAACCATAACACTCAGGTAATCTATTTATTTTGATAAATAATTGCATTGGTAACACCAGCATCACAATGGAACTGACTGTTTAGGCTTAAAGACTAAGAAAAAGAATGATCACAACAATTATCAACACAAAATATGCAAAAACTTGGACAGACAAAAAAGATAAGTCTCATAGAGATTAAAAAAAATTAAACTATTTAATGCATAAATGATAGAGACCTATTTAAGCAATTTTAAATCAAACACATTATGGGCATAATTAGAATGTTTTATGACTCTATAAGAAGGATTAAGAATGTAGAAACTAGAACTTATGCAATTATGCATATAACGTAGAATAACAATTAGTAGGTTTTCCACAGGTCTGGCTAGTAGGAGATGGCTTGGAAGATGTAGAACAAAGAACTGCACCAAAAGGTACATTATTTGTCCCCTATTCATCATTCCCACCGAAGAAGGTCCGTAAGGATTGCACATATTGCACCACTCCAGCAATGAAGATACCAGACACAGTGGAGAACATGCACTCTTGTGAGGTACGGAATGCTGCATATTCATTTTATTCAAGTCAACTACTTGCATATTCATGACACTTTTAAGAATATTGATAGACAGCACAGGATACCTTGAGATTTTTAAAACACGAGAAAAGTCCATTTGTGTGCTTTATAAAATGTCCTTACACATATCTGGTTGACAGAATTGGCTACCGAGAAGGGTCATGAGTGCATCTCGTGTTGCTGGTATAGTGCATGCGCTAGAAGGGTGGGATTCACATGAATGTGGAGATAAAACTCAGGATATTGACAAAATGTGGTCCGCTGCACTCCGTCATGGTTTTCTCCCCTTGTTTGGAATTTCCAACAAAGCTTTATCCAACTAAACAGAACTTAGGATGTACCTGGCAAGGAACATAATGTGGAACTCTTAATGTCACATACCTTTCAGATGGGCAGAAGCTTCCTTTCTTCATTAAGTTCAATAAATTATGCATTACCACTTGACAATACATGAGAGAATTTTTATCCAATTCTAGTGATGGTTTAAAGATTGTGCCATGATCCTACTGGAGACAGCAATAGGCAGGTATTCACTGAGGTGCTCAAAATTTGCTAAACACAAAAGACTTCAATTACAAGTTGCCAAATTTGAGCTTCTTATTGATGCAGCAAAAGTCAAATCTAGACTTGACAAACACTCAAAAAGCAGAAAAAACATTGTAATTTGTTTACCACTTAACTGAAGTGCATCAACCAATTACTACAATAACGTCATCACTGGGAGGTATACCAAGCCACAATGCCCAGTTGAATAAAATGATTTAAAAATGAATTTTATATATTCCAGTATCGAATTATACATTAAGACTGGTACTTTGTCTGACCTGTATTCATAACCTTTGTACTGAAGAAATGCAGAAGAAAAACATCTTTTATAGAATGAATGGTTAAATATCATGAAATCAAGTATGTACCACCAAGCTTATTGGAGGCAGAACGTTTTACCACATATCTTTATTTTCAATGATCTTAAATTCATTAGAAAGATCTGTTCAAACTCTCTTAGAAAGATCTTTATATTATAGAAGCGAAGTCAGTGTTGTAATTTGGTGATCACATAGTAAAAATTTTGTTAATGCTTGAACTGTGTTAGGACTTAGGACTACACAAGCTCTAGAAAGTTTTATTGTTTCTAGTGTTTTGTGTTGATTACAATTGTGGTTTTAAAGTATTAAAGGTACGTCGAAGTCCTATTAGAAGTAGAGGGAATATTGCTTTAAAGTTGCTCAGTGGTCTATAAGTAGCTTGTGGGTGGTCGATAAGCTATTAACAAAGAAGCAGTGATGATTTTAGTGAAATACTCTCTTTTGTGGTGGGGGACTTTATGTCGTTCTCTCCTCTTCTATCCTCTCTTTTCTCCGTTCTTTTCATCTCCTTTGATGTAATTTTCTCTTCTATTGCCTCTTTTCTTATCCCCTTTTGTCTAAATCAAATTTCATAAATGCTTCTATTAACTCCCATTCTAGTGTCTTCTCCAAGTTTCT